CTCAGGCTATAGAGGATGAAAATAGAATAAGCCAACCACCACCGACAGTTACAATGAAAAATATAGAATTTAAGAACAATTAATATCGAACACAGGAGAAGCTTTACCAGAAATGCCATAATTATAACTCGATTTTAATTCATGAATCGATTTAGGATTTGATCGAATTCCAGAGTGGAATCGAAAAGTTGATAGAATGACCCAGTTTGCTGGAATTGGACTAAAAAATTGCCGATTCCAATAATTATGACCCAGTTTTGATATAAACGTCTTAGTTCCATATTCTAATTCATATCTCAAGCCACTGCCTTGTCTTGAGTGCTGTCAAAAATTACCTTCTTGTCTTCTGGAAGTACAACAGCCGATGCATCCTCTTTAACCTCGTCTTCAATCACGAACTGTCCCTGCCTGAACAGCTCCAACTCCTGTTTCTCGACTTCTTGCTTTAACCGCTTGTTCTTTATCATTATCTTCTTTTTCAAAAGGCACGGCGGAGGAAGAGGCATTCCTGGCTCCAACTGAAATAATAATTTCAAAAAACCACTCAACTTGTGTATGCCATCAACTTGCTCTCGAAGAAAAAACAATAAAGACAAAACACGTTAAAAACTTAAATGAGAACGAGCCTACGCCCAAAAAGAGTAGTCATCGCAGCACATTTTAGCGGGTGCGTTGCCAGCCGGAGGTCGTATCTCCCCGGGGAGGACCCCCACCGGTCCATAGTTCGCTAGTTCGCAAAATATAATGACTTGTGAAGCGGACCGTGGAAGACTTCCAGCCATCAAGATGCAACTTCGCAATCCGAACTGTTCGCAACTGTTCGCAATCGCGAATCGCAACGTGCGGCTTTACGCTTATAAGCGAGGATATTATCCGACCGATTTTAACCGATTGTAAGAGATAAACAGAGAAGGGCATACGAAAAATAATTTTTTGTCGATACAGACTGAAATCTCCATTCAATAATAAATAAAGTAATCCTATTACAAATAATACCACTGATCATAAATGTAGATAACGCCAGTAACTGTTTTATTAATCCGACATTGTATTTTACATAAAAACATGAAGGTAGGTAATTGTACAAAACAATTAATATCCACCATCTTGACTTAATAAATATAAAGATTAATATCAATCACAGGGTTGGGTAGAGGGATAGGAGATGGAGAATGCAATTGCTTTGATAAGAGATATTGAAAATGAGGTAGGTAGGCGAATGAGATTACGAACTCTTTTCTTAGTCTAACTGTTTAAAACTCTTCCGTCGCTTTCTGTCTATGCTATGATAAAAAGAGACAGATAAATAATTTCTTTAAAACGGCGAACTTTGATTATTTTAAATAATTTACAGGCATAAGCTAGTTAAGCTAATTAAGTTTCCTAAAATTAAAATTCCTCTTACTAACCGGATAATCAGGCAGCGGCTCCTTCATAAGCAGATCTCCAAGAATTTCATCGCAGTACTTGGCTAACTTGTACTGCTGGGCCTTACAGCAGTGGTTCTCAAAGGATAGGATCACGGGATAGTCTGACGTCACAAAAGCTGTGTCCCTCAAAGCGTAAATCACGTCTTTGAATAAAATGTCAGTGCACATGGCCATTCCGTGAGTTATTATTGGCTCCTCGTCTTCACCTTTGCCGTCCCAGCAGTCGAGTTCGACGCATCTGCAAGAGGTTTTTGAGGATGACCCAAAAATTCATTTTGAGGATCACCAGAGTTTTAAAATTATATGATGAGGTAGGTCATTAAGGTTGACTTTTTTATTTGTACTGAATTCTTAAAGTTTTCTGAAGTTTAGGTTTGACGCTCGGTAGTTTCACCTATTAAAATAGGGCAGGCGTGCCTTTCGGATTAAATAAACAAATAAAATATCAGTGTTAATATGAATTTGTATAATTATATTATTTTTACCGGCATCAGTACTCTGTAAATTGCGATACCGCACGATCCTAATGTTACGACACGCATACAACAGCGTCGCTATCACATAATTAAGTTACAGCATACCGACGCTGGATTAGAAACTGCAAGCCTCTAAGAAACGCAAGAGTTGGAGGTAGTCCTAAGACCAAACATGTAGTCACACGTTACATACACACGCGCGTTGTAAACATTTAAAAAAAATTAATAAAATAAAATGGAATGGAACACTTCGTTGCAGAAACATAATACAATTGACATAATTTAATGAAAAGGAGGGCTGCCTGCCTTTCAAGCAAACTCTTCCAGGCAACCCCTGTGAAAGAATAAAAATTAGATAAGGCAAGCAAGAAGTGCAAAATTACATAAGACATAAAGTTATTTAGACAAAACTAAAGTAGGAACAATCAAAAACTAAACTAAAAAGGACACAATATGAAATGAACATGAATCATGATAATTTTAGATCAGTCTCACATCAGCTAGTACGAAAGTTAGGGATACGACGTGGACAGGAAATTGTATAGTACAGATTTAAAGGAAGATAGAGAAGGAGCTAAGCGAATAGGGACGGGAATTGAATTCCATAGCCTCACTTAAAGGATTCGCTTTTATTCGTATTTAGTTTGTTATGAGCTGGGAACCCTGACTTAGGTATTTTGTGATGAAAAGGTTTCCAAATCTTGCACATCGTAATGCATTCTTATAATGAAAAAACACATTTTGATTTTGTTGTTTCATTTCATCAGGTTTTGGCCTAAAGTATGAGAAGAAGGTCACTTACCGACATCCAGCCAGCAAAACCTGTCTATACATTTCAACAGAACTCTTTCCACCAAACTGACGACCAGATAAATACGTATTATGGGATGAATTAATGTAATAGTGGGATAGAGGCTGGTCCATCTCCATGTAGAAGTCCAGACGGTCGAGAAACACTGGAGCGTTCTCGTCCGACATAAGGTATCGGATGAGACCGTCTTTTGTAAGGCACTCTGGAAATATATATTAGACGTGATTTATATACGAACAAAGTTATCTTTTTTTATGTAACAGGAGGCAAACGGGCAGGAGGCTCACCTGATGTTAAGCGATACTGCCACCCATGAATCCTCACATTGCCAGAGGGCTCTTGAGTGCGTTGCCGGCCTATTAAGAATTAGTACGCTCTTTTCTTGAATGGTTCGGATATTTGTGGGCAGAGTGTTCACATATTGGTGGTGCGCGGTAAAAACTGCGTTAAAAACGCTTTGTATACATACATACATACATTAGGTACAATACATTGTTTATGTAACTTGACGCTATAGATTTATATACGCGTTTATCCGTTAAAATTATCCTATTTTAATTCAAGTACACATCATACTTTCTTACCAAAGAGTACAAAGTTGTGAGAGATATTAAAAGAAATTGTACAACTCACTGGCAGTTTTTGCTTCGTCATTCTGTTCATAAGTTTCGATAATCTCCACTGCTCGCTTGTCTTCGTAGAGTGGGTAAAGGATTTCATTGAGTCTCGGGTCACGCTGCTTCTCATTCAGGAAGTTGACGAATTGCTCCAAATTGATACGATCCGATTTGCCTTGAGTTCTGTAAAATTTCGTAAGAGCTCTTTAGCAATAGGTTCATTTTACACAGCGTACAGCCGATGAATCGTATGTTCCCGTCCTGAGTACTAAAAAGCAGTCTACCCAAAAGAATAGTAAGTCATTTAAACATCCGACCTATCAAATTTTTGATATTATTTCAAAACCGATTTTAAAATCCCCGAAGTCGGAATATACTTTTATTAAAACTTCTTAATGCTTGTGTTTAGCTTTTTCGAAAAATTAATTTAACAGTAAGTTGTTTTATACTAATAAAAATATAGCTAGACAAAGTGTAGTCTAGTGTTCATCTAAGTTTATTTTCCAGTGCGTATCAAGAAAATTACGCATAGTTATAACTTCATTCAATTTTGCACATCATTAAATAAAATATCTGTACTGATAATGGAGGAAAAAATGCAACTTTTAATGAGCAGGCGCAGGGCATTTCTGCGTATGTTTCAATGATATGTTTTACCAGTTCCTGTAAAATAATTTTCACTGTAAATCGAGATATTATATGAAATCTCCATCTACTACACCACAGGCCCAATTTTAACCAATTCATAGGAGCATTTTCGCATGGATCGTGCAGACGAACTAATAATTTGTTATATACAAAGTAATACTTACATAGTCCTAAACAATTCTTCAATATCATTTCTGGGGCAGATCTTATGATACAGGGCGTAGAACTTATCAAATGTGAATGCTTCTCTTTCCATAGCCTCATTTTTTCCAGAAGGAAGTCCGAGTTCCGAGAGACATTGGTAAACCAGCTTTTCCGTTTTCCCTGAAGCGAATGTTCGCGCGACCACCTTAACTGGCACCTTGCCTTTGGGATCCGTGAGGAAACTTAGACGCATCCAACTAGAATTTTCAAGGTAATTTATTCATGTAGATACGGGGATGGAATGCATTTTATACATAAATTATTATAGGCGTTAATACTAATGAACTAAACATGCACAAAACTATTAGAATATTTAAAATATAAAATAAATATTAAAATAAAACTATATCTCCTTTTGTGCATTTGGACACCAATAAAAATTAAATCTGTCTTAATTTAAAGCACTAACGTGTCTATCTCTTTTCATCATAGCATTAACACAAATTGTCAGAAAGAGACTTTCAAATGAGCTTATTACAATATTACATAGACTGATTTAGCTTTTATGGATGAGATAAACATGTAATATGTGTATAGTAAAGCACAGATTGCTTTGATCCGAAACAAAATCATTGTATCTTATTATTTGAAGACTACAGGATAACGTAAATAACGTACCTATATTAGATACGCCCGAGGATAAAATGCCTTGTGACAGAAGTCATATGAAATTTTCTGGATAAACGAAAAAAATTAGTAATTTGATTAACAATATAACGGATTACAAGTTTTAATTATTGAATATTACGATGTTTTGTACAAAAATTTTTCGATTGATTTGATTGTGATGAAAAATGAAAATAGTGTCAGAAAACACAGCAAAAGGCTCACGTTTTATTACGTAATACCGACGCCCATAAACAATCACATTACTAGAGGATCACAAGTAAGTACGTTGCCCGACTTTTACAAATTGATACTTTATTTTTTTATATGGCCCTAAGTAGAATTGATTATTTTCACATCATTAATCTAGTAACAGACAAAAAAAACGCCAAAAATGTTATCCACTACCTACATCCCAGAATTATTAAAATAACAAACTCCGCTCTATAATCTATGTTTATCTCTTCGTCTACATCTTAAACCATAAAAGGTGAAAGTAAATGTATACCTATATTTCTGTCTACTAAAATTTAATCAAGGTAACAAAGAGCCATTTACAAAGAGAAATCCCCAATTTGCGAAACAATTGTTTTACTTCAATTTACTTTCATCTAATTTTAAACATTTTCGTAAATATTGTTACACAAACAGGAAAATCTTTTTCCCTTATTATCGTATTTCTACATATTTTGTCAATATATTAAACGCTTAATTTTTGCGTATCCTCGTATTCATTTTGAAATATTTTCCTTCGGATCAAAACTTTCAGAATTAAAAAAAAAAGTGCGTGCGTACAAAGTACACATGTCAGAAGCGAAACTGCTTTGGCAAAGTAATTTTTAAGTCTTGTTCATATTTAAAAAAAATATATTTCTTCGATAATAAAAACACATGGCATTTTAATTTACTATTCGTCATTTGAGATTTCAATAAATTATTTTGCAAAAAATATAAATTCTCTTTACGAAATTTTAATTTTAAATAATTCGCCCTTCTCAGAGTGAGAACGGCGCTCTCTCTCTCAATCGCTCTCTCGGCTCTCCCTTCACTTCGACAAAAACGCTGCACATCTTCGTGACGCTAATATTATTATTATTGCGTTTCTTCCGAAAAAATTTACTCTCTTGCGCCTAAAGAAGTTTCACCACAAAAAATAATATACAGAACTGGGCAGACGTCCGACCACAATCCCACCCGATGTTAAGTGATGTTGAGGGCACGCCTGTCCAGGAGATGCCTATTTAACCGCCGCTTAAATGAACCCATATTAAACTGTCAAGGAAAGATGGAAGGAGGCAAGGAATTACACATCTTTGCTGTTTTTATAATAAACGAACCAAATCGCAGTGCTTTACCTGGGGATGTCGATAATGAAGGGGTGAAATTCCAGCGTGCTTCTAGATGAGCGTTGTTTGAAAGGAGATACATTTATAGACAATACACATAAGGTGATTGCGCAGGAATCAGTATTTGTATGAGTGCTTTGACCACTTTTTATATCGGCGACCCGTCTCGAAAGACGTCAATAGTACTAGCAGCGCACACAATATACCATCATACTTACTGCTTCATAAGACTCGTCCTCGGACAGACATTGTTAATTTTGTTATTGTGAGTGATGTGCCGCAACCCTTCTTTCCACACCTTAACAAAGACATGCAATGACCCTTGTATAATATATCTAGCCTTTGAAAGTCTAAATTCAATTTAAAAGTTGTATGAGCGATGCGCGATTTTCATTGAATAAGGGAATTGTATTTTTGTTTTAATTTACAATACATGGACTGGCGAAGATCATATGTGATATAAAACCTTTTAAATTAATAAAGGTAATTTTCATATGAAACATTTATTGCGTATTTAATTTGTTGTTTTAGAATTTTTATAGTAAAAAGAACGATATGTTCGGTATAATTTGTAGGAGTTTTGTTTAAAAAAAGTTTATTTTATATAAATAAAAAATAATACACCCTATAGGTCTGGGTCTCCGGTGGATGTATCTGTTTCATGATCATTTGGCAAGTAGGTGATCGGCCTCCTGTGCCTGACACAAATAGTCGACTTTTTGTGTCTAAGGCAAGCCGGTTTTCTCATGATGTTTTCCTTTACCGTACGAGCGAATGTTAAATGCGCACATGGATAGAAACTCCATCGGTGCATACCCGGGCATCGAACCTACGGCCTCAGGGAGAGTCGCCAGTTGAAGAAGCTAGCCCAACACTGCTAATTTCAAGTTTATTTTATATATTTTTCTAAAATCAATTTCGTAACCACATTTTCCCTCTTTAAATATACGCTTGATATTCGTCACGTTGAAATTCAACGATAAATTTGGGTTTTTTAACGTTCAAATGCAGCTCTATTTGAATTTTACACCATCTGTGTAAACGTTGATTACCATCTCATACATTATACAAAGGTTAGATAAAAAATAATATAAACAGTTAACCAACACTGGATAAAACTGATGCTATGATCTGAAAAACTTGAAGCCATCGAAAAGCCACTTTATGTGGATTATTTGACACGTTAGCAAAGCACTTTTCGTAAAATGAATTTTAATTTCCAGGAATCTATTCAAATGTTTTCTCTATTTTGCTTTTAACAAAGCATTGGTTAACTGTTAAAAACATGCAAAGTTTTGAAACACAGAGGCGTTAGACAATAAGCTTATTTAAACAATTAGTAACAAGTTTAGGCCATGCGAAAGCTTTCCAGAGTAAAGGAACGGTAGCTTTAAAAGCTATTCATCGTAACGCGCTTTTTATATTCGAAACGAGTAGATTCGACATATAATAATAATGAATGTGGTTTTTCTACGAGACTTTTTTTCATATAATTGCTTAAAACAGTGTTTCCGAACGTGGGGTACACGCCCCAAAGGGGGGCAATTTGATTGTTAAGCCCTTAAGACTCGAAAATTTAGATAATTTACTTACTGTGTTTCGATAAAAATTTCCTAGTCATTTCTTTCTAAAACCTGTTATTAAGGTTTCTATGTTATTTACAATCTACCTACCTGTTATCTACTACTACAAAGGGGCATGGCACAATCAAAATAAGTATTTGTTTATTGCTTGAATTTTAATTACTCATGATTATTGCATAATAACTACAGATCTCTTAACTAGTCTGAGTTAAGAGATCTTTATTATTAATAATTTTTCTCTATGAATTTTGCGTCACCGTCCTTTACTCTGATTTATTTGCGAGCCTCAAGTGTCCCAAACTTACTGTTTCTTGAGACAAGTCATGGGGCAAACGTTGTTGGCTTTCACGTTGTGGGTGATCTTTCTCAAGCCATCCAACCAGACCTTGACATTTTATTAAATTTTAAACCACCTGGTACTCTATAACTCTCGATAGCGATCCCGACTGAAATTTCGAGTTATTATGCCGCGCCATATACACCGAAATTCCATACAAAAGCATCCGTATCGCTATTGAAAGTTACAGAATACCGACGCAGGAATAATATTTGTAAAGTCTACTATAAGAGTTTAGGGTGAAAATTCATAAACGAGACTAAACGCTAAGTATGACTTCCGTATGTCAAAAACGTATTGAATTATAACAGTAGCCATACTTTGAGCTAAGTCGCCTTTCTTACCCTCAGTTTAACAGGGTCTGCTAAATACCGGTACTTGTTGATTAGTTCATTGATAAAGAGTGTTTAAATATATGAAATGACGTTTCATCTCATTTATACAATTTACTCTACCGTTTTAACTGAAGTATTCAACTGTCTCTTCTCATTGTAGACACAATTTGAAAGAAAGAGACTAAAGAGTTGAGTTTCATTATCGGACGTCAAGGCAAGATACAAAATACCATCCGTATCACCTCGACGTCCGTCCGTCGTCCAAAACTGAGCGTTTTTGCCAGCGCCACCACTATGTGGAACCAGCTGCCCACTGAAGTAATTCCGAATCAATTCGACTTAGGGTCCTTCAAGAAAAGAGCTTACCAATTCTTGAAAGGCCGGCAACGCACTTGCGAGCCTTCTGGCAGTGTGAGTGTCCATGGGCGTCAGTATCACTTAGCATAAAAAAATTCACTCTAAATTTCCGGTAAAGGTTCCTAGTCAATTCTCTAACTTAAGTACTCTTTTTTTTTTTTTCTCTTTGTTTTATGTAATAGAAGGCAAACGGGCAAGAGGCTCATCTGATGTCAAGTGATAGCCCATGGACACTCACATTGACAGAAGGCTCGCCAGTTCTTTGCTGGTCTTTTAAGAATTGGTACGCTCTTTTCTTGACGGACCCTAAGTCGGATTGGTTCGGAACAATTTCAGTAGCAGCTGGTTTCACAAAGTGGTGGTGCGCGGCAAAAACAGCCTTAAGAAACGCTCAGTTGTGGAACTAAGAAACGCTCAGTTGTGGAACAAAATGGAAGGGAATGTATCAATCATTACCTTGGCAGTATTTGCATCAGGACATACTACGTGTTGATAGTTGATGTTGATGTAATCCGTACCACTGCATATGGTTAACGATTTATCCTCTAATTGGTTTCCATGTTTGGTTGTTAGTTTGTCGTTCAATTTCGTATCCTGCAATCGTTGAGCAAAGTAAATAAGAGAACCGAATTCAAATCCGATACAAACTGAATTTTAACATCAAACAATCACAGATCGCGGTTGTTAGCCTACATTATGTAATAATAAATTATTGTTAGTACCAATACAGTCAAAGATAAGTTCTTTATCTATTAAAGTAATAAAGTAATAGATTTAAGATATTCGAGGTAATGTGTTCCAAAGAAGCCTTCACCCAGGAGGGTTCTTAGTATCTGTTAAGGTTCCTAAATTAACCAAATTTAACACATTTTACATAATATTTACATACAAAAAGGTTCAAAAATTTACAAAAGGGAACAAACAATAAAAATTATTCAATACATTTAACTAAGTGTTACCTAATTTGGCTGTGTTGTGTGATGGTGTAAAAGTAAGGGTAAGTATGAAGGTGTAGGTGGGGTATGCTCATGATGCAATGTTTTATTAGATACAATTTGCGCTTCAAGCACTTTAAAATCATCATTGTAGTTGAACTAAAAATATTTTAAACATAATGATAAACATGTTGCTACTCTGCGCGTATGCGTTCTGAGGCTTTTACCTTTGGCACTCCTCCAGATCTGATGTCGCTGACTTGACACAGTTCAATCACGTCTCCATCCTGAAACCAAACAATGCGAGAATAATGCATAAATCTTTTCGAAGATCATCTCATGTGAATAAAAAGATGAATTAATATTAAAATATTATTTTTAATGAAGTTTAGACGTATTATTTATAGTTAGTGTTATGTAACCATGGCAATTATTTAAACAAAACAATTTCAAACACTACCGATTGTTAATTACAAATAAACAGTCGCTTTTTAGAAGGAAACAAAAACGGAAGGAACCCATTACTACTAAGATCTCACAATAATTTCCTGCGACACATGATGACAATTTCCGCTAGTTCCTTTAGAACAACAACGCATCTTTTTAAAATCCATATTTCCTTTTTTTTTCAGGGGGCAAACGGGCAAGAGGCTGCGATGTTAAATGTTACGTCATGGGCACTCTCAATCTCAGGCTTGCGAGTATGTTGCTGGCCTTTTAAGAGTTGGTACGCTCTTTACTTGAAAGACCCTCAGTATAGGTTTGGAAATACCACAACGGGTAGCTGAATCCACACAGCGGTGGTGCCCGGAAAAAAATCGAGAAAGCCGTCGAGGTGATATAGTCGAGGTGGAAATTCATATTCTGCCGCAACGTCTGATGATGAAACTCAGCTGGCTGGGTTCATTAAGACATTTTGATACTGTAGTTTTAATTAAAGTTAACAAATAAGTATTAAGTGCTAAACAGTGAGTGAAAAAATAGAACACAAGAACAGAGTGTCTCCCCATTAATAGAGACTGTAAGTAGTGTTATTGGACACTTCCTTATGTTAAAAATCCTATTTAGTAAATTAGGTTAGACTTAGATTACTTATTAGTCTTAAGTTAAGCTAGATCGTAATATTCCATAATGTCTTAATGAAGACACATGTATAAAAAAATGTTAACAAATTAAATTATGCTAAAGCAAACATTGTTACTTCCATCTACAATTAAATTTTAGCTTATAGTATAAACTGAATACGCCATGAAGCCATGAATAATTTAACTGTTACGATAATTTTATATACCAAAACCCTCATATAAATTGTATTACTATACATCTTTTAATCAATTAATGGATCATTATCTTTCAATCAACGAACAATTAAAAATCTTTTGTCGTATTCAATCAAAAAAGCCAGTATTATCGGACTACATCGCTCAGCTGGCGTCCGACCTACATACGAAGTACGAACATTGTTATCCGAGGCATTATAGACGAGCTATGTTTACTCACTTAAAACGCGAATGATTTTAGAGGGATTTGTGGTGAGTATAGTTACTATTTGTACTAATACTAGGCAAACATTCTCAGCACGCCTAGACATTTAAATGCCGTGGAACTAAATATCTCAGAGATAATGTTGCATCGGAATGGTCCCTTGGGTTGAATGCCTTGGCGAACCCCTTAAGGGCGTGTGGACTAAGGTGTTTTTTAGTGGGTAGGATCTCGCTACCCCTCTGAAGAGGGCTATGAGGGTAGACCCAGCCCCACAGTCCCCGCTTCAAGATCGACATCCATGGAGAGGGCATGTGTATGCGCATATTCACCTCGAACAAAAGCATCGTAATGGTAAAGTAATATTTGAAATCGGTTCAGTAGTTTGAGTTTATTCGTAGCAAACATATTTTTAATTTTTCCACTACTTAAGAATTTCAGCAGGTGAAATGTGATTTCTCACCGTTTCAGGAGGTCAACACATATTAGAAAATCGCATTTATAAATACAAGGAGCCTGAAATTGTTAATTTCAAAATTTAAGGCCGCACCCTTTGACAAGGATGTTGAAAATTTTCTAGGGTGGGACAAGGACGGGATACGCGAGAGAGAGGAAGTTCGACTCTAGACGGATCCCCTACCAACACAATTCGAAAAGATACTATACCACGTTCTAGAATTGTGCGATCGCTAATCTCGAACATCGCCCCCAGGGATATAAGCGAGCCGAAACGCGACCGGTTAGTTCAGTTTTGAATGCGATACCAAGCGATAAACACCGGAGTGACAAAGTGCGAAATGATTCGGGTCCTTTTTTTTGTGTTTTTTTATTAAGTTTAGTACAGTGTTTTGTGTGTGTATTTAGTGAATTTTTGTGCGTAATTTCCAGTTTTAGTTATTTTCTTCCATCCCCTAGCTCTAACAATAAAAGGTTTAATTTAAAATTTTGTTTTATTCAATTTCAGTTATTTAATTTTAATTTTTTTTTATTAAATCATCTATATTCAGGCATTAACCAACTTGTTCAAAGAAAATTAAATAAAATTATTTATTTATTAACTATTATTTATTTATTAATTTATTAATAATTTCAGTTATTTAATTTTAATTTTTTTTAATTAAATCATCTTTATTCAGGCATTAACCAACTTGTTCAAAGAAAATTAAATAAAATTATTTATTTATTAACACTTCGTTGCATGTACAGATATATAATACAATTGACATAATTAAATAAAAAGGAGGGCAACTGGCGCCCTTATCGCTTTCGACAGATCTCTTCTAGGCAACCACAATAAAATATTAGATAAGGTAAGCACATGGAGTGCAAAAATACATTCTACATATAGTTAATTAAACAACACTAATGGAACAGAACAAAGCAATCAAAACATATGTAAACAGTGAACAGGAAATCCCTAAATAACGAATTCTTTTTTCCATTAAAACATCCAACTGCTACTAAGATCAAAAATATACCAATCTTAGGACTATTATCAAAGGCAGCACCAAGTGTTTCATGCTCTATAGCCTTTTTATATTTATTTAAGAAAACGAAAGAAAATTTGCCATCTAATTTCCCAATTACACGTAAGACCACATCTCAAGCTACTGTTAATTAAATAAAATGTAACACTGTTCTTTGATCTTCATCTAATTGGATATTTTCCTCTCTAATGAGGCAGCCTCATTTCTGGGCCTATTTAAGTAATTATATACTGGTCCTTTTACTTAGATATATTTGTTGTAGAAATGTTGTGCCTGGATATTTAATGACTAATGTACTGTAAGGTTATAGAGCCGTGTTGGCCTAGTGGCTTCAGCGTGCGACTCTCATCCCTGTGATTGTAGGTTCGATCCCCGGCTATGCAACGTGCATCACTTCTTTTCGACTTTCTTTCTATGTGCGTATTTAACATTCGCTCGAACGGTGAAGGAAAACATCTTGAGGAAACCGGCTTGCCTTAGACCAAAAATGTCGACGACGTGAGTCAGGCACAGGAGGCTGATCACCTATTAGATTGATAAATGATCATGAAACAGTTACAGAAATCGGAAGCCCATACCTAAAAAGGTTGTAGCGCAACTTTTTTATTTATTTAATGTAAGTTTATACAATATAACAGTCTGAGGGCGAATTTATGATAAATAAAGAATTCTTGAATAAGTATTATACAAGACTTGTATTATTATGTCAGTGTAGACGACACTTTGACAGTTCCAGATAGCAGTAACTAGGTCATCTCGGATGCGCCATTGTGCTATGATGTACCATTGAATAAATGCTCCACATCGATTCGTATGTCTAGGATTGCCAGAATGGTACGTGTGTTTAGTTATAAAAGTATAACGCTCAGTGGTAGCGTTCGATTGTCAAAAGTCAAAAATCATTTATTCATATATAGGTAACACAATGTACACTTATGAACATCAAAAAGAAATATACATTAAATGCTTCTAATTTTACATTTACTGCCAGTTCTCAAATCGAAGTCGTAGAACGGAAGAGAAGAACTGGCAATAAACTCTCCGCCACTGTTTTTTGTTTTACACAACGTTTTTAAGGAGCTGCAACCATTACACCATGTTCCACATGACATCTTAAGTAATAATAAAATAAATTAAAAACAAAGATTTGTTCTCTATCAGCAGGAGGCATGGTGAAATAGGAGCACGCACTTACATTCTCGTGGGAACAATACGCAAATACATAGTAAAAATAACTAAGATCACCGCATACACGAATTCAAGTACGACCAGTCACCACAGGTAGTACCGATTCACGAGTATGACGCATGGCCAGCCATCGGCCCCCTTGCCATCAAGAAATCGAACTTCGGATCATCAGACTTTTCATGCGCGGAAGTACTCGTTCTGTGAAGGAAAACTTCGCGAATAAAATGACGTTTCTCTGACCAAAACAACCATACATGTGATAGACACACAGGTATACCTATAGCCTTAAAGACCAAATAAACGTAGTAATCTGAAGTTTAGGAAAGACAAAAAGAGATGAAGCGCCACTGGATTGCTATTAAAAAATATCTCGCGATTCCGTGAATTGCTATTATTGAAAATTAAGAGTTAACTTCATGACGCAAGTTTCTTTACAACATTTTCAATTTCTATTATCGTCGATTATAACTACCTTAACTTAATTATATTTACAATTTGTCTACCGATTAGGTACTACATTATATATATAAATTTCTTTTCTTTTTCAGGAAAGCGATGACTGCTATGCAGGGGACATTGCTTAAAGTTCTGGTGGTCTTGGCTCTTCCCGCCGGGCTCGGGCGACATCTACTCCAGAAATTTCCTTATGATATTTAGGGACGAGTAGGAGCCCGCTGGCCGGCAAGTTACCTCCTGTGCTTATATTACTGACTTCTTGGACAATGTTGTGGCAGAATTTTCTCAGCTGCGATTTGTGCTCGAGAAAAATATCGGATAGCACATCCCGGGATTCCCTTATGCCAGTTTCCAGCTTCAGATCGCACCTGGCTCTTTAGAAAGTCGGATTGTCAAGAAGTAAATGAATCACCATGTGGTCGGTTCTTTCGTCAGCGTCGCACGCGGGGCTTGTCTTCGGTCGGTTATATTCGGTCAAGTGATACATCAAAGACTATGGAATCGGTTCATCGACATCAGAATGGTAGACGAAATAAAACGAATGGAATTAGACGTTATGGCCTATTTCAGTTTATGTTTCTCTTTAATCCATTAGCTCATTGTAGTTTCAATTACGTTGCAAGTACAATTGATTTATGACTCATAAACGATAGAAATGGATTTGCGAATTGAGTACCGCAATGCTCCAATAAAACTTTGAGGTAAACACAATTACATCAGGCAAATATATCTGCGTAGATGCCAAGCCAATATTAGATTCGTTACAAAACAAAAGGCGTTTAACAATGGATGTGAAGTAATGTAGTTTTACAGTCAGTCTCGTCTTCAAACATACTTAGTTCTTATTTGTTATATCTCAACTTTAAAAATCGAATAACTAGTCAATGTAAGCAATGGGAATAGGTTTCCCATTGCTTACATTGACTAGAAATTTGTTGCTTATAACATTCTATTAAAACTAACTGATAAGTAATTAAAAGTGAAGATAAAGTGAAACTCTTTTTCTTAGGGAAAAACCAATTGTTTATTTTATAGACCTTACAATAAGTACATTTATCAAGCAACTAAAAAACTTTTCTTATCTCACACATGCTAAATAAATAAATAACGAAAGTATCTTCTGTGTCTGTTTTATGGTTGGTACCTGCAGTATTTCCGAACCAAACCGACTTAGGGTCCATCGAGAAAAGAGCGCACCAATTCTAGAAAGGCCGGCAACGCACATGCGAGCCATCTGGCAATGTGAGTGTCCATGGGCGGCGGTATCACTTAATATTCAGGTGAGTCTCCTGTCTGTTTGCCTCCTATTACATAAAAAATCTAATAGGCGACTTTTTGGGTCTAAGGCAAAATTTCCTCACGATGTTTTCCTTCACATAGAAAGAAAGTACATTGGTGCACAGCCGGAGATCGAACCTCAGGCATGAGAGTCGCACCCTGAGGCGACAGCAGCCAACACTGCTCTAAATACTAAGGCAGTAAAAATGTAATAATTTATATACAAATTATACGTCAAAAATTTCGTAACTCAATTACGTTAGCTTTGATCGAGTGAGATGAAGTCAAGGAGGTCCTAAGTTGATTCCTTTGATTGAAGGGTTCGAGTAAGTCAACAGTGTCGAGCCATGTGATGTATTAAAGGGGATTTGAGAGACGAAATACATTTGAGTTCATTGATATCAAGATCAATTCAACTATGTGTATAAAACAGCAAAGGCATGAACGATGTTCTTTCGCGTGCGCTTTATACATCATATTTAAAAAAATATTTAATAATAAGATTCAACCTTATGCAAACTTTTGATAGGCCTAGAACATATATTTGAAGTGAAACTTCTTTAGGCGCATGAGGGTAAAAGTTTTACGGAACGTCACGAAGATGTGCAGCGTTTTTGTCGAAGAAAAGGGAGAGAGCGATTGAGAAAGAGTGAGAAGGGCGAATTACCTTTAGAAATTCTATTTTTCAAGTTAAAATTTCGTTAAGAGAATTTATTAAATACTTGCATTTTAAATTTTATGCAAAATAATTTATTGAAATCTCAAATGACGAATTGTAAATTCAAATGCCACGTGTTTTTATAATCGAAGAAATAAATAAAAAAAATTATAATTAGTATTAATTTACGACACTTAATATTTTAATGACAATTAAATTCATTAAATTCCTAACATATCTTCCTTTTTCGGAAGAGTCTTAAAGTCTCGGAAAGCTGTTTTAGATTTGTATAAATATGAACAAGACTTAAAAATTAGTTTGCCAAAGAAGTTTCACTTTTAACATGTGTACCTACTTTGTACGCATGCACTTTTTTATAGGAGGCAAAGGGCTCGCGAGAGCGTTGCAGTACTCTAAAATTACGTACATAATATAATGTATATCGTCCATAGTCAATAAACGCGTATTAGAGAGTTGCGTATTGCAATTGAAACTAAACAATCCATTTTAATTCTCTGTATCTAGCATACCTAACTTATAAAGTTAGATGTTTTTGTGAATTATATACTCCGGAACAAACTTGAAATTTTCTTTAAAAATGAGTGTGTGCTTACGTGGTAATAAGTCTACGGGCTACTTAAGTAAGGCTAGACATCAATTAATCTATATAAACTTGTCTGTGGACTGTGAGTAATCCAATTTGAGCCTGGCGTATCACGGACGTGTCAGACGATTGACACTGGCACACGTGATGTTTTGCGTAGGTTGCATTTGCATAAGATTAAATACATTTTGTTTATAATTGTTTATAATATGCTAGATTGTTACAAATGTTAACCAGACTTATTGGATTACGGAAACTGTAATGTATAAACATATGTAGATATATATATAATTTAACGCTGAACATTGTGATAAATTTAGTGGCCGTTTAGTAATGATTACAAAAAGACCTGATCGAAAACTTAATGGTCTATGACTGCCTCACACTTTAGTTCAAAGAAATTAATCAATTAGTCTATATAACATTTATTTACATTGTACAAGAATTGTATTATAAAACTAGGCCGCGTTAGCAGCCTAGAACCCATAGATTTGAATTTCGAGAAAAAATAAACACGAAACAACTCGCCTCCGTAGTGTTCGGCGTAACTGTCGACCTGGATTGTTTAGAAACTACGAAAGTTGTAACATTTTAACAGTTAAATAAAATTTAAGGACTAATTTGTAAATTACATTTAAATGTATTGTATCTATTACTGAAGTATTTCCGAACCGTTTCGACTAAGGGTCCTTCAAGAAAAGAGCATACCAATTGGCAACGAGTGCGTTGCCTTTGAAGACTAGCACTCTGGCAATGAGAGTGTCCATGGGCGGCGGTATCACTTACCATCAGATGAGCCTGCTGCCCGTTTGCCCCCTGTTCTATAAAATAATTAGAGTAATTGGACTAATATTTGGATTGTATTGTTATTCAATTAACGAAGTGACCAAGGTTATCCACCACGGTTACATAAAATATACAACAATAAATAATAAAATAAAAACAAAAAAAAAAATTTGGGGTGGACACCCCTTATCACTTAGAGGTTTGAAAGAAATATAGTAGCCGATTCTCAGACTTACTGAATATGCGTAAAAAAATTAATAAAAATTCGTCGAGCCGTTTCGGAGGAGTATGGGAACGAATATTGTGACACGAGAGTTTTATATATTAGACTATACAATTTTGCTCTAGTAGGTCGTCTCGAATAAAGCAATAAGGCTAGAATACATACCTTTCCTTCACTCTTCCAATAAATGAAGAAGCCATACTCGTCGACTTTGAAAAGGCATTCTTTTTCCAATTCCGTGTTGTCTTTTTCTTCGGTCCATCTGTCGAATACAGCTCCCTGCAAGTATTAGGTATGTCTCTCGGTAATACATCGAAACTTCGAGTTCATAACGATAAAATGTCGTATAGGTTTACCATTCTCCAGGTATAGGAAGAATTTAAAGCTTTTATAGATTTATAAGAATTTGGCACGGATCACAGGTAGCTGCCATTTGTTTAGAATGCAATGCCTTGGATACACTGAGGTTATAAACAGCTTTTATAGCTGTAGTGAACTTTCAATCCATTCCATACTAATGATATAAGTGCGGAAGTCTTGTTTTTATGGCAATTGGATTCAATAAAATTTTCTCTTACTGCTTTTTGGATACGATACTAGAATATATTGTTAGATTATTTTTAAGAATTATAGTCGAACACAAATAAGTCAGTGTTCAGATTTCATCATCTGAACATCGACCAACTGCTAACATGGATCACGTGTGTTCTAAATCTTAGCAGCTGAAGAGCAATTTTAATTATATTTTATTTGAATATTGATCATCTGCTGACACGGCTCACGTGTGTTCCAAATCTTAACAGCTGAAGATGCGCAATACACCAACAGCTCAGTAGAATAATATCATATATGTGTGAATAGGTGCAATTAGTATTTAAGATGTTTTTGAATAATAAATGAGATTTGAATATTGCTCTGTCTTGTTCATTTCTCGCTTCCTCTCAAAGTGGCGAAGCCTACTTCAAGCCCTTAATTATCGTGGTGAGCCTGCCCGGTAGCTTTGAGATAATCCCACCACCTCGAACCTTTGATCCTACCCGTAGGGCTCCGTCTGTTACCTTAGGTCTCTTGGTGCAGACATCCCGTACTTATTTATATATTCACTATTTATGTTATTGTTTATTATTATTTGTATGTGTTATAATAAACAAATATCATAACACATAGTGTCGCAAGGTATAGGGCTAAAAAATTAAGTCGAGATAGCAAACGAGCCTCTAGGACACCTATAAAGGGCAGTCATTACAGCCCATGGACACATACTAGAGTGCGTTGTCGGCCTTCGTGGGAGGAGTATTTTTTAAACAATTGAAGGTGGTATGTCCCAGGGAGTCGATTTCACAGTTCGTTAGTTCGCAAAAGATAATGTCTTGTGAATCGGACCATAGAAGACTTCCAGCCATCAAGGTGATGGGGATGAAGTTTATTTAGGCGTAATCTTATTTTCCGAAGATACGAAGAGGCCACGTTGAAATTCTAGTAATTTTATACTTTTCAGATACACGTATCTAACGGTATGTACTGTTTCGTGGCCAAGGAATGTTATGACGATAAATATATAAATATGTTTTGAAGAACTCAGTATAAATTGTTTTTATATAAATTTTACTTACTTGGAGCAAGGGTTCGGGTACGGGGATCTGCCAGTTAAATTCAAATCGCTTGGTCATGATGGAGCTGCTTCCCCACCACTGCTAAATTTACCACGAAGACATTTCCTGCAAATTACCACGCAATAAGTAACAGGTAACACATTTCTGTTGAAAATATTTAAAGTTAAATTATAAAAATATCTTTCGTCTGCGACTATTTTGTATATATTATTGTTTTTTTATAGAACGGAGGTCAAACGGGCAGCATGCTCACGGACACTCTCAATGCCAGAGGGCTAGCGAGTGCGTCACTGGCCTTTTAGGAACTGGTAAGCTCTTTTCTTATAGGATCCTAAGTCATACTGTTTCGGAAATATTTCAGTAGGCAGATGGTTCCACATAGTGGTGGTGCGCGGCAACTGCCTTAAAAACCCTCAGTTGTGGAACGACGGACGTCGTGGTGATACGGTTGGTATTTCGTATGACTTGTGCTGATAAATAAAATAATAAATAATAAAAATGTTAATTGTTTATAATCGCCTGCGACATTTAATTGCAATTATAATCGCCTGCGTGAGTAGTTAGCAAATGCTGTAATTCAGAGGTCATGTGCTCGATTCCCAATGAAAGAATTTTACTCGTGTAAAGACACAAAAGACTTTAATTATATTTGATTGCAATAATTGAGAATTCTTTCGCCGAAAGTGTGTCAATTTCCAAAGGTTTGGTTCTCGCAACATTGCAAAAGTCTAATGATAAAAGTTGAGAAGACTGTAATTACTGCCTTCCTTTAACTCGAAATCACTTGATAAACTTTGAGGACACATTAAACTGAAAAAGTTTCGACTCTAAAAGTGATCTCGTAGTTGCCAAGAAAACTTTCGAAGGAAGAAGTTCAATAAGCTGTCAGTAGTGGTATAATTGTCGCTGAACGGAGAATGCAATATATTATTTATTATATATTTAAGATTAAAGCTTCATCTTTTTCGTGCTTCATATACCGTTTTCTACAGAAGAGGAATTTGTTTGCATGTTTGTGATTGTCATTATTATGCTAAAGTAAGAAACAAAACAGTTACAGTCCAGTAAAAAAAAAGACCTGCGTTGAAATATAGGCAATTTTATTCAAAAATTTGACAGCGCAAAACTTTTTTTTTTTTAATTATAGAAGCAAACGGGCAGAAGGCTCATCTGATGTTAAGTGATACTGCCGCCTATGGATACTCTAAATGCCAGAGGCCTCGCGAGAGCGTTGCCGCCCTTTACGGCCTTAGCATGTTAGCATACATATGGGCTAATTATTTTCTATTAAACATGTGTCAGAATAACAATTTAAAAAAAAAACATGGTTTAACTTTTGAAACTACATATTGATGAAATAGACTTTCGTTCCCTTTGCAGTAGAGACTCTCGGGCCGTGGGGTTCGAGTACACAGGCGCTTATTAAAGATTTAAGTTGGCGCCTGGTAGATAGTACCGGTGACCCCAGAGCTGGTGCTTTCCTCGCTCAACGAATAAGTAGCGCAATACAGCGAGGAAATGCCAGTATTAGGTGTCACAGGGACCAATCGTTTTACATTTTCTATTAATCAATTTTTTATTATTATTACTATGTAGGCTAAGAATATTGCAAGTACTGTAGTATACATTATAATTATATAAGAAAACTAGAATGTACTTTCAGAAACGGGATATTAAGGATGAAAAATCCTGATATCAGAACACAATGCTCACATCATTACTAAAATCACCTTTCCGCCTCCTTGCTTAGTACTCGACCTAAAATTACCAGTTTAAAGACGTCTGCAAATTGCCACTTGCCGTTTCGACAATTTTTGATGTGGCAACACCGGAGTATTTTTCGTATGAAATAACACAGCGTTATTACGAAATGTAGGGCGAAATAACAGACGGTCAACATAATTAGATACAGTCCAGACAGATTGGCCATACAATGTTTAAAGTTTAGTTCTGCTTAGAGAATTAATTACCTAGATATGTAATTATAAAAATAAATGAAGAAAAAAAAATCTAGGTCAGATCTGGGCCTCAGATTTCTGTATATGTTTCAGCCTTCTGTGCCTGACAAACGCCGTGGGCCGTTGGGCCTAAGGCAAGCCGGTTTCCTCACGATGTTTTTCTTTACCGTTCGAGCGAATATTAAATGCGCACATAAGTCCATTGGTGCACAGCCAGGGATCGAAGGACTCTCAGGTATGGGAGTCGCACGATGAAGCCACTAGGCCAACACTGCTCATAACATAAAACTAAATAACTAAATTAAAAAAAGGAAGGATTATGTCAATCATATCAACTTTATATTGCTTATAGTTAAATAGAAAAATAGTTTTTATATAAAATCGAACAACTCATAGATCGCTATAATTTAATTCATAAAATTTATAAAACGAATTAAATTTTACCTATTAAAACGTCCGGTTGATTAACGTAAAATAATAGGATTAATAATTTTTATTTTCAGGGTCATGAACAACAATAAGGAGCTCAAGGTTTCCAGTGCCAAAGGCCATGGCATCAAGAAGAAATAACTATCGAAATATAACTAACAGTTAATTTCATGCATTATAAATGAATATAATTTTTTTATTCACAATTTTCTTAACCTACATACTAAAAATAATATTAAATAAAAGCAAATTTAAAAAGTTTGGTCTCTGTGGCGAGTTTGAGCGAGGAAAGTCCAACTCTGAGGTCACCGGTACTATCTATCAGGCGCCAAATTAAATCTTTAATTAACGCCCGTGTACTTGAACCCGGCCCAAGAGTCTCTACTACTATCTATTTGATGCATATCATTTCGATCTAACAAAGTCTCTTTGCTAGTGAAAAACACATTATCATAGATAAATCAGACTATTGCTTTCTCACAAGTAAAGTTTGGTATCTCTCAACTATGCGAAGAACATTTTACTTTTAATCTATGGTAGAATGATCTGCGATTTCTAAACAGAATACGATTCTGTATGAACCCGGGACCGTGTTTAAACGTGACCACGTCTCTTCACGTGTTCTCTTTGTTTTCGGGAAATAGAAAAAAACATATCTCTGCCTCTTTGGGCGCAATGAACCGAACCGATTCGCATAAATGACCTTGCTAGACGATAATACAATTGTTTTATCTTTTGAGGAAATACTGGAGGTTACGTATTTAGCAATCAATTTTATAATATTTTTCAGTTCATAAGAACACATATTATAAATGTGATGAGAATTTATCTTATTTATTTATTCACACTTTGTTGCAATTAAAATAAAAGAAACACAAATAACGCAATACATAAAAATTACAAGGGATGCAACGGGCGGCCTTAATAGCTAATAAGCTAATAGCTAAAGCGATCTCTTCCAGGCAACCCTAGTAAGACAAAATCTTAAAAATTAGAAAAATGATGAGTGCAAGAAGTACAGTACCAAATGTTATATAAAAAAATAGATTAAACCTTAATTTAAAGTAATACAAAAAAAATATTAATAACAAACTAAAAACTAAAAAGCTAATCTTATAGATTCATATCATGAAATAGCGATGCAATATAAAATAAAGGAAACACAGGAATTACACAAGTCACGATTGATCAGGATAGGATAAAGTTAAGAAATGTTTATACAGAAGAGTTTTAAAAGATGATAGAGAGGTAGCCAATCGTATGGGGTCGGGCAGCCTATTCCACAACTTAATGGCGGAGATCCTAAATGAATTGCCTAAGAAGGATGAGCTGTGTGATGGAATTTCCAATAAACATCTATTGGAAGAGTGTAACATATAGTTAGAAGGACCTAAGAATTTGAAGTGATTTCTGAGATAAGACGGGGTTTTGGGATTGAAAAGAATTTAGTATAGAAGTTGAAGATGAGCGTCACGTCTGAGCCACCCCAGCTGCCTGCGGAATTTAGACACATGGTCATATTTCCTAAGAACAAATATGAAACGTATGCGGAAATTCTGCAGGCGTTCCATCTTGTCAAGTAGCTCTTCAGGAAATAGTAAAGTGAGTTATTTATTTTGGGTTTGCCGAGAGTTTTGCAGGATTATGGAGACGCGAAGGGTTTAATGCCATAATTTTAAAATAAGTAGCATCCTTGATACTTCGTGTTCTGTATAACTCTAATTGTATTTATCGCATATTATAATATCAATCAAACAAATAAAAACCCTCTCTCTCTCTCTCGTCGTTGGTACGCTGTTCAAAGTCCATGAAGTCTTAAAAGAGTGATTGATAATCTTTAATTATCAGGGAGCCTGGTGTTTTAGTTAATCAGCCGGTAAATTTATAATGAAGAGCCCATAAATCCCGACTAGTGGGCACATTATATAAGAGAATCGATAGGAAAGGTAGATGACCGGGTGCGGCCCGCACTAATTGCCGACAGTGATTAAAAGCCTTTGTGTTATGCCAGAGGAATCACTTGCCTATACCAAACCAGTGAGTGTAAAATTTTGTGTAGTTTTTATATCTAGGCTGGAAAAAGCGCAGATGAGAATAAAGTTATATTACACAAAATATATATACACGCTTAAAAACCCCCGAAAGAGGAGGTTATTAGGTGTATTTTTCGTGATCCGACCGGCAAATTTAAGGTGATTTAATTTTCGACGAAGGTTTACGTGACGAGATTAGGAGCTCAGATTATTTCAACTGTTTAAAATAAAATCATAATTAAAACCACTTATGATAAATATTGATATTTATGAAATCGCTTTTGATAATACCAAAGAGATTTAATAATTGTATAATGCAACTTGAGATCTTTTATCAAAAATTAATCATTGAACTGACAAATTACTTCTCAGCTTTTAGAATTAATGTCTCATTATATATTATATAATGTGTAAGATAAAACATTCTAATGCATTTTTATTTAAGTATCTTTATTATACATTTTACTAACAGTGTAATATATTTTCTGACCCAAATTGCGACAGTTAGTTTGACATCATAGACTTAAAGACTATATAAATAGTATATATAATATAATATATATATATATATTACATATAATTATACCAAACCTAAGTGTGCCTGTCTGCTAAATATTAAATACAAGGTAAGAAATTT